TAAAAAAAAAAAAAAAAAAAAAAAAAAAAAAAAAAAAACAAGGCTTACTGTATTACCTACCAGGAGCAAAATAGGATCACAAAAACTGTGACATGTGCTGTCAATACTGCTCCTATACTAAAATGATACAAGGTTAAAAAATGCCAAATTTTATTTTAAATGGTGATATTAATAATGCATATTTCTAAGTAAAATCAAACATAATTTTGAATATATAATACTTCCTTAATATCCAATTGATGAGGACTATAAATCAAAATTACTATATTTGATAGAATATATTGGGGTTGCGTTTTCTAACAGAATCAACATAAAATATGGGGTCTGTTTCCTACTTTAATTTGCAAGACTAATGCATAACATAATGCATATTTAAATCTATAGTAATTTAAAACATATTTACAAAACCACTGAAAATTTTATTTTAAAAAGCAAAATATAATGGTCATAAATTATAGTTTAATTAAAAGCATGTGGAACAATCCTGTTCAATAGAACTAAGCCTCTGGTGAAGAGTTTCAGAATTTCATTAGTTTGAGAGCCATTCATTTTATATCTATTGTCAGATTAAAGTTTATGGCTGTTCTCTTTGATATAGGTATGAACACCAGCACTAGTTACCTTATTAACAGGCTTAGATAATAATTCATGGCCTACAATTGTGCTTGTGCCCCCTACAGAAGTAGGAGATTTTCTCAAGGTAACTGAACTAGAGGAAGGAAAAAAAATGAAAGGTGGGTGGACAAAGTCTCACTTAAGAGAAAAAAGGAGGTCCACAAAATGATGGGTTGAAAAAAGATACCAGATAAGCTCCCAGGTCCATGGATGGTAGCACCATCCTAGAGTACCCTGAAGTCAGGGTAAAGAGATGTACAAAAGGAGACTGCTTAGGGCTATGGAGTAATGCCTGCCATATGTATTACACATCACAGAATCTCAGAATAGCACATACCTGGTGTTCTGATAATCCTGGTCAAATTATGTTCTCTAACAAGAGATATTAGGTTAATGATGTAGATACTGTTTTTTCTTTTACAAATATTCTTCAGAATTGGTAGAAAAGTTGATTTGTCATTTGGGGAAAATAGCCAGAATTTCATATCACATAATAATATAAACTCTGAATATATCAAGGAATTCAATACAATTAACTCTAGGCAGCTCTAGATAAACTGAGAAGGATTCATGTATCTTTCCCAAGGTGAAAAATTAAACAGTGTCTGGCCTTTAAAGACAAAGATCTTCAAAGACTAGAATTATAAGTAAGATGCTCTATGTGGAAAAATATACATGAGTGTAATTAAAAACATTAAAACCATAACACAATCATCACTATAGTCACATTTGGGTGCATCTCCTACAAGTTAAATTCTCTGATGTTAATATTAAACAAAACAAAGGAAAAAATCTCACTAGAGGCAGAAAATTAATTTTATTACTAACCAACATTTTTAATATATTTATTAATCATTTTTATTCTCTCCTGATGAAAGATTGTTCATGACTTTTACTATTTAATATTCTGATCCTCTTATCAATTGGTATGAATATATGGGAATTTTCATCTTTTGGTCTGTTTTTGACATGAAAATGTTTTTCTTTTTAAAAACATTTTTACATGATCTGTATCTATTAGCCTTTTTTCTTTATATTGCTTGTTAGCCAAGAAACATCTCAATCATCCAAGAAAAAAAATTAGTTTGTTTTCCTGTTTTATTTTTAAAACATTGAATTCCTTAATGCATTATATTATTCTGAAAAAAATTGATCTTCCTTGAAGTGGCAAATTGCTTAGAAACATTCACTGAACACACACATAGAATTTAAATATTTAACACAAGTTGACTTTATTTACCTTACCTGAAAATACAAAAATGATTTACTGAGATTATATTTCATAAATGATCACTGCAAAAGTGTTAAATATTCACTCTAATTTTAAAAGCATATCTATTTGCAGATTGAATAACATTTCAAAATAACTAAGAGGAAAAATTTCAAATGTTTCACCATAAAATAACAGGTAAACAAGGTGATGGATATGTTAGTTTGAGTGAATCATCCACATTGTACATATATCAAAACATCACATGGTACCCTATAATACATGCAATTACTTGTCAATCAAATGTAGTATTAATAAAAATATTTTTAAAAAGACATAGTAAAACCTTTTTCTTCATTTTAGACCCAATCTGAGTCAGTTCTGAGATCTGACCAAGACTATAGGATGATCATACTTACTGAATTAGCCACATTAATTTTGCTATTGAGCTTTCCTGAAGATCGAGATTACAGCCCAACTGCTGCATATCTACCTTACTGGGTTAGTTTTACTATTAATACTTACCAACAGCAAGAAGAAGAATGCTGGCTACAAAACAGCCTGCACCCACACTGAGGTAATAAACACCTACTCTCATTTCTGTTGGCCAAAGTGGGAAGAGGGTGGCTGCTATTACTGCAATCACTGGAACAAGAAATGACAAAGTTATACAGATAACTTTCAGAATAAAAGTGTAAATAGCATGACTAATAATAAATTAACATATTCTTAGGGGGAATAATCCTAAAACAAATAATACAAAAATCACAATTTTTAAAAAGTAGTAAATTATGAGCATTTCATCATTTAACTTAATATTTTATCCTCTTCTTAGGTTGGATATTTTTTAGCCTAAATCACATTTAGAAAAAAGAGCTGTCTACAGATTTAAAAACTGTTCTTTAAAATGTCAACTACTGTCACTTCCAAGCTATGTCTACATTATCATTTGAATACTGGGCATCTATCTACTTACTGAGTAGGGAAACTTAAAGAAACAACAAATCATAAAAACAAAAATATCCTAAGATCTCACCCTGGAGTTGGGTGATTCTAAGGAGGAGCTCTGACATCCACAGAATCTCATAGGTGATTTCACTACAGACAGTTTTTTGGTAGTTAGGAAAGCTGTAGACAAGCATCTCCAGTATTTTTGCAGTAAAATGGGGTAATATGAAAGAATTGCAACAAATCAGATGATTGGTGGTTCGGTCTGCAGAGTTAGAACAGTATTAAACTCTGGTTCTAGCATTTATAAGCTAAGTAACCATAAGCAAATTATTTCATCCTTTGAGGCTATTACCTTACGTTTAATAAATGCATTTTTTTTTTTTTGGTTCCGGGGATTGAACTTGGGACCTTGCCCTTGTGAGGTAGGTGGTGGAACCACTGAGCTAAATCCCTGGCCCAATGCCTGTTTTTTTTTTTTCAGCAGCTCAACTTTAATTTTATTTTGTGTAAAAAGGACAAATTTAGTGAATTATTTTCATTCACAGTTATAATTTTAATGCTTTTCACATCCATTCTGAAAATTTGCAATCTAGTAGAAAAGGAACATAAATTTCTCCAAAGGAATTTTTCACATCATTATAACACTTTGAGAAAGTTTCAAACATTTTCTCAATGATTACATTCATTACCAAAAAAGATTAAATTTGTACAGATATTGATCTATATATCAAATATATTACAGAAATGATGTAAAAAATGTACACAGTTTGACTTCTGTCCTCAAAAGATTTGCCCAAGGACAGACGCTTATCCTTTGTATAAATGACTATGGCTTTATTTAAAATATGAAAATCAAAGAAACCCAGTTTAATCACAGTACTTTTTTTTTGGTATAAGGGATTCCCCAACTCAGGACCTTGTGCTTGTGAGGCCACTGAGGTGCCACTGAGCTAAATCCCTGGCCCTAAGCACAGTACTTTTAAAATGCCTCCCCAATACTAAAGTGTTGTAAATTCCTATTTTTATTTTTTAAACATTGTGAGAATGAGACAGTATATATTTAGGAAAGCAATTAGTAAACTGGAAATAATCAACAAAGTTATTAGCTATTTCGGTTTAACTGAGTTTTAACATATCATAAAAGAAGTGGGTTTTATTTTGTTTTGTTTTTGTAGTGCTAGGGAATGAGCCAGGAGCTCCTGCTAGACAAATGTTCATCACTGAGCTACTTCCCCAGTCTTTTTTCATTTAAGACAGGGCCACACTAAGTTTCCCAGGCTGGTCTCAAACTTGTAATACTCCTGTCTTAGCCTCCTCAGAAGCTGGGGATTACAAGCATTTACCACTATGCCAAAGAGTTGTTCTGAGTGGGATCCTAGGATATCATACTGGCTAAATTTATTTTAATTAATATCTGTTTTTTTTCCTGTTTGCTAAATCATTCTTTTCTATCCATCCCTGCCTATCCTAAACTTAAGAGAAACACACATTTATATTAAAAAAATAAATCAGAAACAAATAAAAAAAGTATAGCAAAGATTAACTCTGCATCCACATTCTTATTTTACTTCTCAGGGGCTAATTAAACTTACAGTATTTATATTCCCAGAGACTTCCTATATATAATTAAACTACCTAAACAGAATGTTTTACACACAATTCTTACTCTTGCAGTTTTCTTATCTATTCTAGGTATCTTCCCATCAGTACATCTTCATTCTTTAAAGGCTGCATAGTATTCTATTACACTGTAATTTCTTTCACCCTTCTCCTACTGAGGAACTTCAATTCTTTTTCAGTTTTAACCTATTTCAAACATTAATAGCATAAATATCCATGTACATGTAAATATGTGCAAATATGACTATATAATAGATTGAATTCCTTTAAGGGGAATTACTAGTCCAAAAATCAACAGAAATTTACTTTGAAAATTATTTGTTAGATTACTCTGAGGGATTTGGATTAAAATAAGAAACACATCAAACTGGGCACGGTGGTGCATGCCTGTAATCTCAGCACTTGGGAGAACGAGGCAGGAGGACTGCCACAAGTTTGAGGCCAGCCTGGGCTACACAGTAAGTTCAAGGGCAGTCTGAACTACATAGAGAAACCTTGTCTCAAAAAACCAAAATAAAATAAAATAAAATAAGCTAAGCAACACATAAATGCATACACTTTGGGCAACTGTATGCACAAAATGGGATACATTTTGTATAGTAGAATAGCTGGGTCAGTTTTATATGCATTTAAAATTATTTTACATATGTACACATACTTTTTGTTTTTAAATCCAAGGTCTTGCGAATGTCACGTTCTCCCGCCCTGTTAAATCCCTAGCCTGGCACTTAACAATTTCAAACATATTACCAAACTGCCTTCCCTAAAACTGAAGCAGTGGATATACTTATCAATTTTGGAGAGTGCTGGTTTTTCTAAAACATTCACTATTGTTATACTTTACTATGAGTGAGAGTATTATTTATGATGGCTAGTCACTGTATTTCAAGATCTATGAGCTACCTTTAGCATTTTTCTACCAAGTTGATAAGCAGTTAATTTCTTAAAGATCTTCCTTTTAATGTGTTGTAAATATTCATGGTTTATAATTAATCTCCTGATTTTAAAGTATACTCTTTATGCTGGGCATGGTGGCACACGCCTGTATTCCCAGCACTCGGGAGGCTGAGGCAGGAGGATCACTGTGAGTTCAAGACCATTCTGGGCTACATAGTGAGTTCCAGGTCAGTCTCAACTACATAGTGAGACCAGGTCTCAAAAAAAGTATACTCTTTATGCAGTAACTCTTTGATGTTAAATTTAAAAATAGTTTCCTTTGTGAGGCAGGCAGCAGCACCACTGAGCTAAACCCCCCAGCAATGGTTTCCATTGCATTGCTACATTTTGATTTTTAAATTTTAGACTGTACTTTAAAGCAACTTACACCTTGGTACTTACCAAGAATTAATCCCATGACAAATGTTTTAATGTGCACTGGGTCATAGATCCACACATAAACCTGTAAGAATCAAGAAATCTCAGTGCTTAAAAGTTCTAAGGTCACATTAGAAAGTAAAGTTTAGGGCCCGGGATTTAGTTCAATGGTTCTGCTGCCTGCCTCAAAAGCACAAGGTTGTAATTAATTTCCAAAGACTCTTCCCCTTCAGTATTAGAGTGGCATCTACTCAAGTTAAAAAAAAAAAAAAAAAAAAAAATTTAGTCCCTAATATAATGATGAACCAGCTAAGAACAGTTAAAATATATTCCAGCCAGACCACAGTACAAATCTAGCAGCTCTAAAATTTATCCTTTTCTCTCCTACTGACCTCACACAAAGAACCTTTATTAAAGATCATGCTTGATGAAGATAAACATTCTGTGACTCCCTGTAGTAATTTTTTTGCCCACTTCTCCATACAGGGTTTATAACCTATGAAGAACGAACTACTGTCTAAAAGCTTAATTTACTTTTAGCAGGCTATTTTTTATATAGCAGAATCTTACATCATTCAGATTAAACCTATGCTCAATCATCATCCATTACATTTTGTTTTGTCTTTAGTTTCTATAAAGAACAGTGCTATTTCATTTTTTAATTGTGTTTTGACTACAACTCTTTGTCTTTCTGACTTCATTCTTTTAACATCTATAGCAATCCCTATTTTACTATGTATTCTTCCTGGGAATCAGTTCCAGACCTTTCTTTTGCCAGTTACCATTCCAAAATAAACACTGAAAACAAAAAGGAGATTTTCAAACTTTGAAAGCTTTGGGGTACATGGGAGTTTTCTACATAATTAAATCTAGGACTTCAGGATGGCAACCATACAAGCTTTTGCTCAGCCTGCTTCCTTGCTCGATGTACATGTAACTCCTCTGTGGTAAACCGGACGTTCTGCCAGACAACCTTGTTCAAGGCTCAGCTTAGGTGTCCAGGTTCTCTAGACCTCCTCTGTCCTTACTGATCAAATTAACTATTCCTACCTCATTAGTGTTTTCACATTATTAATAACATACTATTGTAAAGTAACATGTTTAAATGCTCCCATCCTTAATAGACTGTGTTTCCTTACAGAGAATTTCACTTGTCATTTATCATGTTATTCCTAGCACCTTATAAAAATGTCTAACATACAGTTGATGCTCAATGCTTTTAACTGAAGGCATTTGGGCTCTCATCTTGGGAAAGACACGTAGTCTTCTCTTACAGTGGTTAACTATTAGAATTACCTAAGGATACTTCACATAAAAACACTTATCAACCCTTCCTCTATACTTGATATTTTTATGCAAGTATTCTAGCCTAGAGCTTTTTAAAAAAGCTATTCCAGAATTTCAAATACACAAGGAACCACAACTTTACACATATACTACTTATACTATATACTTTATACATATACTACTAGTGTTAAGTGTAGCAAGAAAGGATATGCCTTGAATTTACAATAGTTCTATGACCAGTATTACAGTTTGTATTTCTTTTTTTTTTTCTTTTTTCTTTTTGTTTTTTGAGACAGGGTCTCAATCTATGTAGTTGAGACTGACCTGAAACTCACTCTGTAGCCCAGGCTGGTCTTGAACTCACAGCGATCCTCCTGCCTCAGCCTCCCCAAGGGCTGGGATTACAGGTGTGTGCCACCACACCTGGCTATAGTTTGTATTTCTGTACTGGTTCATAGAATACCACCACACAACCCTACTTAAAAAGATAAAAGTATCTCAAAGCACTAAGTAATGTTGAAAAATTTAGGCTCCTCAAATAATGTGTCTGACTACATATGGTACATGAGCAGAGATCAGTAAGTATACCCATTAACCAATTTAAAAAATAATAATGGAAACTGAATTTTCACTGAGTGAATAACCACATGTATCAAAACATTCTTCAGACTTTATTTTAGGTAAGCAAGACTATCTGAGTAGGATTTTGGCCAGTGGAATCCAGGCAGAAATGAAATCACCACCTTCCTGGACAGTGTCTTTAAAAGACAGTCTTAGGGCTGGGGATTTAGCTCAGTGGTTCTAGCACCTGCCTCACAAATGCAAGGTCCCGAGTTCAAACCCTGATACCAATTAAAAAAAAAAAAAAGAGTCTTAAGAAGTACATTCTTTACTCTCATTTCCTCTTTTGGATATAGACATAATATTGGCAATCATTTTGGACCATGAAGTTACCTTAGCTAGAAATATCCCACAGAGAAAAAAAAAACAACAACAAAAAATGAGCTTGGGCCCACCATAATGCTTATCCCTTGATTACATTGATGAGAAGGAAATAAGCATCTATTTTGTGTTACATCACTTTTTTAAGGATTCCTATCACACACAGTCAAACTGATGTTTTATAAATCTAAATTTAGACAAATTTTTTTTTTTTGGTACCAGGGATCAAACTCAGGACCTTGCACTTATGAGGAAGGTGCAGTGCTACTGAGCTAAATCCCTGGCCCTAGACAAATTTATTTTTAAAAATAGAGCAATTTTTATATACTTAATTGTGTGATTACTCTCAATGGTTTCTTAGTGAAGGCATCAAACATATTTCTAAAAAATTCCACGAAAAATTATTTCTAATCATAGGCTGACTTCTCACCTCATTGCCATCCAGAAAAACTTGATCATCATGTGGTTCAAGTTTGAATTTTTTCTTAGTTTCCTTTTTTTTAGGAGTTCCTGGAGTTTCTTCCTATGAAAACACAAGTTGAATAGAAATAACACAAGAAAGCCAAAACAATGTGACATTCATACAGCAAAAAGCTTTCACTACTTGTAACACAAAAATTTCCAACCATGATATATTTCTAATAATCCTAATATGGTTAGGTCAAGTATTTGCTGATATTTTAAATATGCTCATATGTCAATCATGCACACACAATGATTTATTTTTACCTAATTTCAGTTGAACTCACTTTTTTGGAGTCTTCCTTTTCTCCATCTTTTTTTTTCTCTTTTTCCTTTTTTGTCTTTTCTTCCTTTACATTTTCTTTCTTGGTTTTTTTATCTTCTTCTTTTCCACTTTCAGCTTTTCCTTTATCTTTTTCTTTTTTTATATCTTTATCATATTTCATTTTCATTACCTTAAGTGCTCGGTGAAAAAACTGTTTCTTTAAAAGCCTTGGTTTGGGAAAAAAAAAAAAAAAAAAAAAAAAATTACATTACATTCCCTTGAATTATAGGCACAGAATAAAAACCAAAAATATCAAGACCCAAATAAAATGCACACAGAAAGACATAAACTGGCAACTCATAAAAGAAATTACTACTATTACTTACAGAAAAAGTCAACTCCAAGTCAAAAAACCTTAGCTAATTAGATAACTGTGTATGGTTGTCAAAACTCAGTGATATTTAATTTAATTTTCACTTTTAACTATATATTTAGGTGAAAGACATTATAGTTTTGGATTGTATTATACTTATACAGTAAATCCTCTCCCTACATGAAGTATAATTAATACTCAGATTCATTTAATGTTAAGTCTCAAAAGAAAACAAATAAAAAGGAAAACAGTCTAAGAAATATTACAGAGTAAAAGTATATCCATGAATTGGTCCTACTCATGTACCTTCACTGTCTTTCTGGATGTTTTTTTCTCTTCCATGTACTTCACAATCCAGCTGACTGCTTGCTCTTGAACTATCTTGCTCACAAAATATCTTGAATTAAAGAATGAATAATTACATCTACTAAGACGAGGCTCCTGTTTTCTGATAAGGATTTACAAGATCTATCTGAAAAAATGTGCAACCTATTTGGTAAAACATTATATATTCCTTTACATTAGTCACAGGAAACTATTTAATAAAACAGGTGCTGAGCTTCTTAGTGAAGAATACAATTTAAAAAAACATTAACCAGGCTGGGGATGTAGCTCAGTGGAACTAAGCCTGCCTGCTAAGTGCAAGGTCCTAAGCTTGATCCCTGGTGCAGGGTGGGTGGGTGGGTGGGTGGGTGTGTGGGTGTGTGTGTGTCCTACCAGCATCTTTATACTGGCTGTTTCCTTTACCAGGAATTTACTTCTTTCACAGTATGTCTTTTTGTTTCATTCCCTTACTTCCTACACAGTTTTTCCTGTTTAAAATCATAAGCCTTCCCCATCCTCTGTTATTCTATCCATAGCATACATTTGGTAACTTACCATATAATTTATTGTATCTGTGTGCCTCTTCACTGTACTGTAAACTCCTTGAGAATAAATTTTTGTCCCTACCCCCACCCTGTACTGGGGATTGAACTTAAGACCTTGCAGTTGTGAGGCAGGTGAGGCACCACTGAGCTAAATCTCTGGCCTGAGATTGTTGTTTTATTCATTTATCTGGTAAAGTTTAGAAGCTCAGCTGATCCTAAATTAAGCCTGTGTTGGTAGCTCCTCTCTAACCTTATAATTCTACCCAAGAAACTGGGTTTCTTTTACCTTTGTCATAAGCCACCTTTTCAAATTTCATGCTTTGGTTTCAGAATTCTTGATTTGTTTTTTCATTCCTACCTTGATACTGTACAAATACTACAATATCTAGAAGCTAGGTCTTACTACTACTATCTGTGCCTGCTAATGGCTACTACCCACCTTTCTACTTACACCTCACCAGTACCTGCATATCACATCAGCTCTCGCTTCTTGTCCACACTACTTCTTTCTGAACATTGTGTTGTGGGCCCTCTGTAGCACCTATATATCACCTGCCTGGCTGGGCTTCTTTCTGCTGCCCCATTAGGTCCAGCCCATGATCATCTCCAAAAGCTAACGATTGGTCCACTTGGCCTGTTCAAATTGCTCATTATCTAGTTAGCATATAATCATGCTACTGTTCAAACTGCCCTCCCCAAATGCTACTATTGATATCTGCTAAGCATATGTATATGTAAACAAACAAAATTTTGAAATTAGTCTTTAATTATCAGCTACTGTAAGCAGAAAATAGGATTTAATAGTGATATGTTTGAATATGAAGAACTTTGTATTTTTTATGTCATGTCTTGAAACATTTTATAGTGAACATATAGTCTAATTTTGTCTGTACATTTATATGATTTCCAGATTTTCTATATTACCCCTCAATATGAAAACAAAAATACATTTTATTCATCTTATGTATGAAAACAAAATATACCTTATTCATCTTATGTTAAGAGAAAAACTAGTATTTTATATAATAGATATCTATCTATATAATGAGTACAAGTATACATATACAGATAGTTGAAGTATAGAGTTGCAAATGGTTGTTTTCTAAACCATTTTCTGTATCTTTAGTTTTCTTAAATTTACTTCAGTGGAAAAAATGATCTTAAAAAAATAAGTAAGAAATAAACCATGGAACTTTACTAGAAAAGTCTTTTCCCTAACAGAAAAAGATCAAAAGGGCACAGAACCAGTAAGGCTGTCTGCTTCTGTCACTCTTCCTGCACAGTGGCCTGTGGATTAACTTTCAAACAAATTAGCACTGAAAATAATTTCACATTTAGCTAGATGGCTTCAAATGCTTCCTTTACCACTTGAATAGCTGGGAGAAACTGGCTAAGTTACTTCAGTTCAGCAGACTCTTAAAATGGGGTACCTTATAGGGATTTTTAGGGTAAATGAGAAGCATATAAATTGTTGAGCATAGGGCCTGGTATACATGTACTCAGTAAATTTTAGCTATTACTGCTATACCAAAACCTTTAATTTACAGTAATAGAGTATTACTTGGTTTAAAAAATCATTGTTTATAGCATCATTCTGTTCTGTAATTAGTATATTACTGACATATTCTTTCAGGGGTCTTTAAAGAATGTCTACTTCAGCTCATTCTATGATTAGGGAAATGAGATTGACATTATTTAACCTTAGTAATAAATCAGACCTTCTAATTATGTGGGCTTTTTTTGGAGGCAGGATCTTGCTAAATTGCTCAGGCTAGCCTTGATTTGCAGCTTTTCCACCTTAGCATCCTGAATGGCTGGGATTCTAGACACTTACACGGCACCAGGCCTTATTTAGCTTTACATATAAGACATAGGAGAAACTACTAATACAAAACTTTCTAATATTTTCATAGAACTCACACTTTCCTATCTCCATACGCTCTGCTGTGCTTTCTCCTGGGAATAAACTCCCTTTTTCTTGTTTGTTGGGCAATCACTTACTGTTTCAAAATTTGATTAAAATATTTTCTGTGAAGTTATTCTTGACAGTTTCACCAATTATTTTTATTAGATATAAATTTTCCCAAAGAGATTAGAATGTGTGGTTTTTTTTTTTTTTTTTGGTACTGGGGATCGAACTTGTGTCCTTCTGCTTGCCAGGCAGGCGGCGGAACCACCAGCTAAGTCCCCGCCAGAGAATGTGTTTTGAAATAGAGAACAAATCACTATAATCACTATATTCCTAGGACTGATATACATGGTTTAAAAATAGCTTGTGAGCCGGGGATTTAGCTCAGTGGTTTTGCCGCCTGCCTTGTAATTGGTACTGGGGATCGAACTTGTGTCCTTCTGCTTGCCAGGCAGGCGGCGGAACCACCAGCTAAGTCCCCGCCAGAGAATGTGTTTTGAAATAGAGAACAAATCACTATAATCACTATATTCCTAGGACTGATATACATGGTTTAAAAATAGCTTGTGAGCCGGGGATTTAGCTCAGTGGTTTTGCCGCCTGCCTTGTAAGGTTAAGGACCTGAGTTCGATACCTGGTAAAAAAAAAAAAAAAAAGAAGAAGAAGAAACAAAAATAGTTTGTAAAAAGTTTTTAATTGCCATGTACATTTTCCTCACTTCTAATCTTTTTTTCAGATTTATCAAATATTTAATTGAATGCCAGGCATATGTAAGGGACTTTCACCTATGCAGCAATGGTGCCTTTTAGCTAAAGACCTATATCATGCTAAGTGGTATGGAGTTATAATAAAGTAGAAACAGTCCTACAATTGTTTTCAGATTTAGCTGGCAAAACATTTTTAAAAATTAACACATATGTAAGAATTCTAAAAAAGTTAAGGGCCAAACTGGATAATAGTAACTTGATAAATCAGTAAACTTTAGATATAAGGGTGAGTGGGAGAACCTGAGGAATACTACATGGTAGAAACAGGATTTGAGGGATGTGCTTATAATATTGAGAGACAGGTATAACAGAGGAAGGATTATCATTCAGAGAAAGTAGAAGGTTAGGATCACAGAAAGACCACAAGAATGACTGTGATATACTTGCACAAGAGAAGGACATTACTGGACTGAGATTAGCGATGAGAATAGGTTGAAAAGTTCGTATGTAAAATAGGCCACCAAAGGTACACACTGTACTACAAAAAATTATTTTCTTACTAGCCTACATTTTCCTATTTTGTGTTTTTTTCCTAGACTTCATTAGGCCCAGTTAGTTGCTTTAGAAAATGAAACTGGACAAAACTCAGTAAGGTCTGGCCATCACCATGAAGATTCTAATTAGAAGTGGCCAGGGGGACCTGATAGGCCTCCCTCCTTCATTTTTAGAGTGGAAAGGACAGACAACCTGACATCAATGGGAATAATATACACAATGAAAAGTGTGTCTCTAGGATATTCTCTGGATTCTGACCTTTTCATGTAACACAATACCAAGGCTTCTAAAAGGTCAAGTGATACGGACTGCTTTCCTTAAAGAGACTGACTGTTCTCCTTAAGAGATTTGGGCTTATAGAATTAATACCTGAAATAATACAACCGGAAAGTGACTCAATTTTAACTTCTCCTTCATTGAATACAGCATCATTTTACTGTGGGAGATAGTTATAGTGCAGTGGTTAACAGCATATGCTGCTGGGGGGAGATTGCTATATTTACAATCTTAGATCTTACTAGCCGTGTGACCTTAGATGGGGTTATTAACATCCCTGAGCCCCAGTTCCTACATTTCTAGCATCCCTTCATTATTATGCCATATATAAAGAATAAATCTATTTTGAAGGAGGCAGGGAAGTTTACATTTGAGAGTTAATCAGAAAAATAGCTGTAAGAACAAGTAAATACCAGTTGTATCACTCTTAGCTCATCCCAAACCAAACAATGAAATTTATTGTTTCTGAAATGTCCTTTAGTGATCTCTAGTCTTTGGCAAGAAAAAAATCTTAACAAATATTGGATAATTGTTTAAGAAACCAGATTGTAAAACTGGTTTTTAAAGATGGTTTTCATATAGCTGATACTTTTAGTGCTATTTACACACTTAACTCTATCAAACACAAAAAATAATCTAAAATCTCAAATTCTCAGGTTATAAACTTTAGTGTCATGAAAATAACATTTAGTTAACATATATTGATAAATATGCTTAACAAGTATTAAGTAAACCAAGGAAGAAAAATAAAGAGAAACTACCATACTTCTTTGTAAAAGGAGGGTGATTTTCGTCCTTTAGACACACCATCCATCATTCAAAGTTTGTCTGCAGGCTGGAGACGTTGCTCAATGGTAAATGTTTGTCTAGCATGTTCAGTCACCAGTACTATAACCCCACCAAAAATATTTTATTTTGCAAAGAAAAGGTACCTATTATGAAAAACGTGTGTATGTTACTTAACTGTCTATATTTCATCTTGAAATTCTCAAAAATAGACAAGTGTTATAGCTGCCTTGACTTTGTAAGGATACATTAACAATTACTAAAATCAGGAAAGTCTCTGGCTTAGGGTTCAGGATGTAGGCACTAAAAAACACAGCAAAGATAACAGCATGAACAGGAATCCCTACAAAAGCTCTGGAAGAAACTCAGGCTATCTGCTCTACAATGAAATCTAGGTTACATATGAAAGCCATGTTGTAGTATCACTACTTCTAATGATAAAAATAGGTAAAGAGTTTGAGGACTATAGAGAAAATTTTAAATTATTATTATTTGCAATATTCTTTACCAAGAATTAAATACTACCTGTTGCAGTAGTCAACCACAGACTCTCTGGTTGTAAATAAAGCTTCATCTCCTTTCTTGGCTTTTGCCCACTTTGAATCCAAAAGGCAATCCACTGCTTTTGAAGCTAAGGAAGAGATTTATGATTTTAAATTTAGTATAGATGGAAATTTATAGTTTAAGAAATGTTTCAGAAAGCAAACTTCAACATTCTGACAACAGAAAAAAAATGAGCTCAATAGAAAATTAAGTTGTGTTTTTTTTTTTGGTGCGGGGGATCAAACTCGGGACCTTGAGCTTGTGAGGCAGGCGGCAGCACCACTGAGCTAAATCCCCAGCCCCCAAAATTAAGTTTAACATGACCATCATAATTTCCTCATAACCTCAACTTGTGAAATGAGTATATTGATAAACATCTTTTCAAAGCAAGGATGGGAAATAAATGGCATTCAGAAATATTAATTCAGCAAGACAAATTTACAGGAAAATATTAAACATTTCTATCACTCATCAAATAATTACAAACATAGGGCAAAGTGAAATCTTTCTCTTTGTCAGAACAATGAAAATTCTCATTAAGTAACCTGAACAATATGTGAACAACCTACTGTTGTCACTAGAAGTAGCTAAACAGATTTGGAGAGATTAGCACATCTATTTTTTCAAAACTTTCAAAGTCATTAATAAAACAGAAGAAAAAGATAAGTTCTTCTCATTATATGACAATAATTGTGACATGTAATTTTCACTGATGAGATAGGCAAATGTAACCACTATTTACAAGCTATAGGGGTACATTATAGGTGGCATCAGCTTATAATGAGACTGTATAAAGTGAAGAATTAAAGCTCCTAGTTCCAAATATACATACTAGCAGAACAAGGTAGTATTTTATTTTATTTTTTTAGTACTGGAGATCAAACTCAGGGCCTTGAACTTGTAAGGCAGGTAGGCAGGGGCAGAGCCACTGAACTAAATCCCTGGCTCCCAAGGTAGTATTTTAGAACATCGAAAATAAACCCTATTTAAAAATTTTTCAACAAATAATTAGAAAACAATTTTATTATTATAGATATTATCCCTCATAAAAATAAGATAATAAATGCCTTGTCTATCACCCCATTTCAATAATCACACTTGAAAAAGACTTAAAAACTTCCACATAGCTTAAATTTAGGTAATTTCCTAAGTTATATACATACACTAATATTTCATTAATATAACCCTACCAATAAAATAATCAACTCGATGACCCATCATATTGGTGGATTTTGTTGGACAGTTGAATCGAAGATACTTGGCTACGGCCTTCTCTTCTTTAGATGGTTCACCAACTTCCTACAACAAAAGAATATTACTTTAGTGTAATAAAGAATTTATAGATTTGTTCTTTAAATCTTTCAAGTGAAATATAGGCTTTGCTTTCAGGCCTTCTCTGGAAGAGGCTGAGTGTAAGAGAAAATGGAGATTTAAAAAAATTATTTCTCAAATAAAAATTGATTGGTCCAAACCCTGTTTCTCTGGCTTATTTTTCCAGCATGGTAACTAATTTGCACCAATTCACCATCATTTTGTAGGACCTCTTTTTAATAGCCACAAAGATAAGATGTTGCCAATAGTGAATGCCCAAAGGTCTAAGTAGAAACTGGTACCACAAATGTTAAATAACAACCACTAATGATATGTATCCCAGTTATGGCTAACAGACCATGCTAGCTGCTTCAATTTGATTACTGTTAAGAACTACTGAGACGCTGATGACTGGTACTCTTTCCCTTCTCTTTCCTCTGTAGTTAAGAGTTAGCAGACATTGATTAGAATTCCTTTCCTACTTGCCTTCTCCTCTTCCCAGTAATAGTGAGGCAAAAATTAGAAATGCTACAACAGATATATTACTGTATCATTTGAAGAAACAATTAATGAAAGGCAAGGACAATAGTTTTGCAAAGACTGCTTTCATCTATGCTGGGCATGGTGGTGCACACCTATAATCTCAGCACTGGAGAGGCTAATGCAGGAGAATCACTGTGAGTTCGAGGCCAGCCTGTGTTATATCTAAACTACATAGTGAGGCCTTGCCTCAAAAAAAGAAAAAGAATGATTTAATCTTTCCTCTTTTCTTTCTTCTATATTTGTTCCCAAATTGTCTATTACATATTCTATAACTACCAGGTATGGGTTATTTGTGGCAATAAAAATTAAAAGCTCAAACCACTCAACTTGAATGAAGACTACTGTAAAAACCAAATACAGTATTTATGAAAAAGTTCCACTTTTATTTATAAAAATATGTACCAGGCCGGGGATTTAGCTCAGTGGTTCTGCCGCCTGCCTCGCAGGCACAAGGACCTGAGTTCAATCCCCGGCACAGAATGAATAAATGAATGAATGAATGAATAAATAAACAAACAAACAAATAAATGTACCAAAAAGTAAAATCTTAAAATTTGGAAATTCAAAGTTTAACACTCCAAACTAACATCTATGAGGTTTATAAAATATAATGTAGGACCGGGGATTTAGCTCAGTGGTACCACCTGCCTCGCAAGCACAAGGTCCCAAGTTTAATCCCCAGTACTTAAAAAACAAACAAACAAAAAAACAAAAAAAACTATAAGCCTTATAAAAATTCAAACTATAGCTATAAAATATACTTCTTGATATAACAAAAGATGAAACTAGTAAAACTGGTGAAACCATGCAAACATCTATTAATACATGTTGATATGATGTTAAATGTTAGTATTTAATTATGTTTGTGTAATACACTATACTTCTAGAAGGCTCATCTATTAACTGAAAGTTAACATATCTGGAAATGAAACCTTAAGTGGTTTATAGAAAACAATTATATTTTATAATCACACTCACATATGCTCAATTTTTTCATCATTTGATATATCAATTTAAAAGTTTATCTAACTAACTATAATGGGTTGGGCTTATTTCTAAAGATTTTTAGGGCAGATAAACCATTCAATCAAATTCATACTTCCTGAGTATCCTAATTTTGGGTGCTACAATTACTAGTAAAGATGTGTAAGGTATGATACTTGCACTTTGTTACATAACTATGCAAGCAGCAATGATTATTTTCTGAAAGGAGAGTTAGCAAAATAATTTTTAAGTACATGAAGTAGGAATTAATGGGAATGGGAATAGCCAGAAAAGATCTCTTGAAAGGAGGAGCTAGATTTGAAAGATAAACAAGTTTTGGATAAACAGGAGACCATAAACACTGTGGCTCAGGGTTGGGGATTCAGCTCAGTGATGCAGCCACCTGCCTCGCAAATGCAAGGTCCTGGAGTTCAATCCCCAGTACCAAAAACAAAAACAAACATTGTGGCTGAGAATGAACACAAAATCTGGCTTCAGCAGAGGATATTTGCGAAGCACTGGGAGGTTAAATATAGGTAAGAATAAAGAGTCTTCAATGTAGGCTGAGAAATTCTGACTTTACCCTATACGTTAAGAGAAGAAACACTGGTAATTTTTTTAATAGAAAAGAACTATAAAGACGGTTTAAACATTATTTTGGTAGTTATGTGTTGAAAAAAAAATAAGGCAGGAAAATTAGTCAGAATATCAATATAATATTCAAGTAAATGTGATACAGGACTAAAACTAGAAGATGTAGATATTTAAAATACTTCAAATGTAGAACAATGAAATGGTCAGGTAAAGGATGTTAGATTTCTAAGTAGATGAAAGGAAAGGATAGTTTTTTAATAAGAAAGGAAAGGTGGGAAAGTGATTCTAGAGAACAATCGCATTAGTTTTAGGAATGTATATCAACACTCATACTAACGTTCAATTAAACCACTTACTGATCACATGTAAGTGCACTAATCTGACTGCTTATCAAAGCATCACATGAAAAATCTGCCTAAATAGCAGGATATATAAAAGCTGGAAAGTTGATTCTATCATGCAACAGGAAATCTAATACTATTACATACTCACAAAATTTTAAATGTCATTTTAACAATTTCAAGTTAACCAATCATTCCACAAATGTAGTCCTCCCTTGATAAAGCCACTAGTAAGCAACAATGAACAGATGACATTCAGAAAATACAAGATTTGGGTAATCTCTTCCAACTAGACACAGAATTACTCCTCCACTGCACAAAGTATCAGCAAGTTATGTTAACCATGTTACAGATTGCCTTTAATAAAAAGGATATAATTTGTATTCTCTTCTGGAGCTCTGAAGAAAGAGACTGCTGTAGAAAAGTAGCATGAGAACCTGACCATGGGATGTTGGTTTTAAATACAGGAGGTCCTGCATGGTGTCTATTCTTACCATCCCCCTGCTGCACCCTAAAGAGGGTATAAAACAGTCTTACCATTTGTTTATACACTGGACTACCCTATCCCTCCTCTCTGTTCCCTTCTAATGCGAACAAAATATTTTCCTAATTTTTCTAGACTTCTAACTAGAAATAAAAGCCTTTTAAGAATATTAGTACCCACTAATGAACAGAAAACATACCATTAACTCTCAAAGAGGAGGATTTTTTTAAAACTCAGGTAATGAGAATAACAGTGTTAGAATGAAGATGTTAAAAGCCACTGACTTTAGGCTGGACTGCCTTTCCCTGAATATCAATGCATTGGCTACTGCAAATTACAACCCAAATTTGTTTAAATTTAAAGTTTGGTTAGAACAATCTTATAAAACTTTTTAACCAATAATACTGTTTACTTAGAACACATTAACACCTAAATATTACAATGACAGAGGTTACAAGATCTACTGTGCATTGGTACAGAAGTACAAAAATAGCAATACAAAGTATCTGAGAATGCAAACAGTAGGTTAACAATAAAATCTGAAAGCTCAGAAAAGTCATTTGCTCAATCTTGACTATAGCAGTATTTTTATACATTACTTCCAATTAACTTGTTGTATAATCTCTGTAGCAATATTTGTCAGATAAATGCAAAATCCTCTATTATTAAGCCTTTGGGGAAGATTTCCATACTTAGGACTGGGTTCCTGGGTTTCCCCTCTTTTCTTCAGAAAGTCCTGAGAAGTCAGTCCCAAAATCTGGCTGTAGAGTCCCAAACTTTTCTTTCCTCTCCCAAAATTAAGCATGTAAGTCCATGATATAGCAGTTTTATTGCCAGGGAGACAAATGGATGCAACAAAAATAACTGAAGGAGGTTATAAAAGTTCTAAGAAGTAGTGAGCCATTAAAATGTCTCCAAATTTAAGTAGATATTGTACATATAAGGAGAATACTAGATGGGATGATTCTCTTTAGTGGGGACAAACTTTTTACGATTTAAAATAAAAAATTAGGATTAAATTATTTCATTACAACTTATTTTTATCAGTGGTGAGGTGGAAAGAATATTCAACTGCAAACTAGAAGTCTGGTCTAAATCTAGGCTTACTATCTTACTGAGTAATCCAGGGTGATGAGGCTGTTAGGTGAGATCAGTAACCTAGGTCCACCACTTAGCTTTTGCATCAGACTGAATTTGTAGAAAATAATTTCAAACAAATCCTACTACATCCTTTTCAATTCTTAAATTTCATGATACCATGATTCTAAACCATGTTTCTAGTAAGCAATACTTATTCTGTATGAAGTTGTTGACATATTTTCTTAAAAACTTACATCATTGCATTTCTTAATTTTATTTTTAAATGCATTAATTTAGATTTAGATCATTCTCATTTGAGAATCTCAATCATTAAAACTTTACAATATAATGTCAACGAACACATATGCATTTCAGGTTTTCAGTGACTGGTAATTTGGGTCCAAGAGGGAAATATGACAATAGCCCTCTTGCTCCCGACTTGGGTGGGACACAAGAACATGAAGTTACATTGTACTAGAAAAAAAAAAACAAAGGAATTAGCTACTTTTTAGAAAATGAAATCCAAGGTCATTTAATCTACTTAATACAAAATTTTCTCTTAACATGAAACATCAAGTAACAAAGGGCAGGAAACTCAGTTGATGTTGCCTACCCGTCTGCCTTTAAAGTCCCACCATAGACTTTTTTTTAACAATCTCTGAACTTTGTCATTACATTTGATCTTTTTACCTCAAGTGGTGCCAATATCTACTTTTTGATTCTCTGGAGGAAAAAAAAATGAAGAATTTCCTAGGATAGTGTACTTTTATAAATTTGTTACAACTTCACAAAAGTAGTAGTTCTCCAAGATCTCCCACATTTTACAAAGCCAAGTAGAAAACTTTGAGGACAGGAAAAATAACTTATTTTCATTTTGCAGTATGCCAAACTGATTTTTAAAAAAATCAGATCCTCAAATAAACAATGGAAAGTACATGTCTATATTTTATACAGCTCAAACCTAATGATCTGTTTACTAAATAAGATAGTTATTAAATATTCTTTAGCATATCAAAGAGTGCTTAACAAAAACCAAAATAACAACCTAAATCCTTTATACTGGGGGAGAGGGCAAGAAGGGAAGGGGTTTTGTGCCAAGTACCTTCAATAACTTTTAATAAGTAATTGACTCACCTATTGTTTCCATAGCAAATCTACCCCTACAGGGTTTTTAAATTTTTGTTTTTACAGTAAACATCCCTTATTAGAGATGGAGATAACTGGTGAAGCTAGTATACAGACAGGCTTCTGGGCCACAACCATTACAGGATTATATACATCCTTTTGCCTACCTGTCTGTTTAATATAAGAGCAAAACTGAAATATGAGTAGTGAATTGTTATCACCTTTACAACAGTAAAGAGCAGTTGAAACAACAATTTATATTAAAGGGCATAAAATTCTGTCAAGTGTAAATAGCAATAAGTACAAATGTAAGCTTCAATACAAATTCTAATAGTCTGACCACGTTAAAATAACAATACTAAATTTCAAAAAGAATTAAGAATAGTATAAGAAATTTCTCACTGACCTCAAGCCCTAATTTTAAGCCCTGTATGAACTTGGAATGTGCCTGTAATTCCATTCTGCAACTTATTCACAATTACTCTATTACCGCCAAAGTGCAAATTTACTGATCACAGATATTTTTTCAGTAGTATTCAACTAGGCACACCTGTGAGTGGGTCAATACCTTGGCAATTTAAAAAAAATAACGATAACAAGGAAACAGTCATTCTAAGCAAGGATCAGAAAGACGAGTGTAACAATATGTTTCGTGTGTTAATAATTTGCTACATGTTATCGATTTATGATGCCATTGGCTTCTAAACACAAACTGATGAGGCAACTAACGAGAATCCTGAGTCAAAGATGTTCAACATATTTAATCTTCTTAGTAAAGAACAGGAACGGCAAGGATAAAATTGCCGGAAAGAAATGCACAACCGTCGTGCCTGTGGAATGAGGGAGGGATGTTATGTAGGTTATGATGACAAACTGGCATGTGAAAGGTTTCTGGGTGCCACCAGCTCGTTGCACCAATGGGGTTGTGTTTGTTTACACCCTGTCGCCTGGAAGACAGCCAGCAAGCTTCAAGTAAACTATTAAATTAAAAAATGTTAAGACAGGGGAGATAGCACCCTGGGTCTCCGGGAGAGCTGAGCGAGTTCAGGTCCTTCCTCTTCAGGAGTCAACCCGCACAAAGAACCGGCTGCTTTAGGTCAGACCTACACCTCTTTCTACCCCAATTACCTGGCCTTAATTTCTGGGCATCTGCGGCGCGAGGATGTGCGATCGAGCTAGGGACGCGAAGGGCCGGCGTCTGTGGTCCTGTGCCCCGGACGTGGCAGGCCTCGCAGTGCAGGCC